AAAAAAGAAAAAATAAATAGGTCACTGTAGACAACAATTTTGATGTGAACTTGCTCGTTGTTGTCTTTCTGTAATAAAATTTGATTCATTCAACATTGTGTTATCAAGTGCAGTATCTTCCTTGATTTTTTCAATATCAATATCTAATTGTTGAGCTTCATTTTTATCTTCACATATTTCAGCTTTATTTAGGTAGAATGAAATCTAAATCAAAAGAAGTTTTTTTTATATTAATCGTATCAAATAAAATCTAATTTACCACATCATGAAGAATTTTACTTTTTACAGGATCTGTTTCAGCTGTTTATAAGTAAAAATAAAAAGAAATTTTATATACAAAATAAGAATGTTAACTTACTTCGAGCAGCACGAAGCATTACAGTCAAACCTATTTGATATTCTTCACAAGCTTGACTGAATCTTGCAATATTCATCTAAGACACACAAAAAAAAATTCCTATTATTGTTAAAAATGAAATTTTTCTATTTACTAATTGATTTCCATTTAGACAATGTTGATAAGCTTGAAAAAGTTCTTTATTATTTTTTAAATCGACTGCAAAGAAATAGTTCATTGAAGTTTGTATACAGATTTAGAAAGAAAAAAAATTTAAACTTACGATTTTCAGTTGAAGATGACACTGTCGTTGATGCCGATGCAAAATTGAGATTCATTTGTGATATTCGTTTTTTAAGTATTTCAGCAGCAGCTAGACCTTCTTTTACTTTCATTCTTAACATTCGTTTTCGATCATGATCTTCATCAACTATTAAACAAAAATAAAAGCATAGGTTTAAATGTGAAACTTACATGTGTTTGCTGACCCTATTATACTAATAAAAAATACGCAAAGTTAAAAATTCTTCGTAGACTATAGTTGTTTTTGAAGGATGATTGTGGCAAATCAATGCCTCACTATCCATCATTGTTGACAGCTCGGATATAATTTTCTTACCTGTACAAAAATCAGAAACTGTACTACTTAGGAAAGTTGTTCAGCGCCTTTTTCCATTGCTAGGAAATTTTGGGAAAACAATTTGGTGTTAGTTCTTCTTGACCGCTATAGAAACATTCTAAATGACTTTTTGCTTCAGTTGTTATGAAGACGAAGATTCCGCATAATCTCAACTTAAAATTTACACTTACTATTATCCTTCGAAATAAATATATGAGTTCCATAAAATTCTATTTACCTTTAATAATAGCTACATATTCATCTAATGCTCTTACTCGATAGTCAAGAGCTTTTTTAATATCACCTCTTTGTTCATAAGTAATTGATCTTTGAAATAAATCATCCTATTTTAATTGAAAACTATATATTACAATAAAGAACGAAAGAAAAATAAGAATATTTACTGCACGAATTATTTGAAAAGATAAATCAATAAAAATAAATGGATGTCGAAAAAAATCTTGAAAACTTATTCGTCTATTTGGATCACGTTGTAATAAGCCTTCAAGTAAATTACGACATTCGGATGAGATGCGAGTATCATTTGGAATCTATTTTAAAATAAAAAAGTTTTCTTTTATTAAAGAAAACATTTCAAAACTATATATGTATTCTCTTACTTCAATTGGAATATTTGATTTAATTTCTTCTACAAGTTCATCAGCCGATGAAAAAACAAATGGTGATCGACCAAAAAGACATTCTATGTAAACAATAAAACAAAAAATACTAACGAGTATCCCAGAAAGAATGGCCCTCTCAGTATTCTTAAGGTTTCTTCTCTATTATCCTTAACAGTTTTACATATATTTGAAAAAAGACGAAAACTAAGGACATACAAACAGCGGGGAAAAGTAAACAATAGGTGTCTCATAATAAATGGCCGCACTTTGCATTTCATATTTTAATCTCTCAATACGTTTTATTAAGAAACAAAGTATACCATCGTATGGAGCGTGAAAAGCTCTACAATCTACAAACTAAAGCTAATTTTAATTGTACCATTTTTGTTTCCAAAAAATAGCAAAACCCTGTGTGACTAATTTTCGCCACTGCGACAACCGATCGCACAGGAATTGGAGTTTTTTAAACATAGAAAGTGCACAAATAAAATGAACTGTTCTTTGTAAATTGTAGAACTTTTCATGCTACGTCTTGTCGCATATTTTGTTTTTTTTAAAGAAAACATATTAGGTGATAAAAAGATAAAATAAGTAAAAGAAATTCTTGTTCGTGTAAAAAAAATGATTTTTTCACGATAGCAAAAATTGGTCACACAGAGTTTTGCTATTTTTTGAAAACAAAAATAATACAATTAAAACTAGCTTTAGTTTGTAGATTGTAGAGCTTTTCACGCTGCATATGATGGTATACTTTGTTTCTTAATAAAACGTATTGAGAGATTAAAATATGAAATGCAAAGTGCAGCCATTTATTAATACTGAGAGGGCCATTCTTTCTGAGACACCCGCTATATAATTTCTATGTTCAATATTTCAAATTTACCATAAAGTATAATTCCCATTGACCAAAGATCAACACGATTATCATAAGGATGTGAAGAAAGTATTTCGGGAGCCATATATAATAAAGTTCCACGAATACTTCGACTACCTCGTTTTCCAATATGTTGTGCAACACCAAAATCTATAAACATATGTAATTTCTCTCCTAAATAAGATGTTAAATCATTATTTCCCAAAAACGGTTTTGCTGTATCTGTTTCAAGAAGACCAATAACATCTGCATCTAAGTTGATAGTCAAAAAAAAAAAAATAATAAAATAATTATTCAAATAATAGAATTTTTACTAACTCGTATCAGCAAGTACGGATGCAACACGATCAAGACTTGGACGAGCATTATTATCATAACCAAAATCAACTGTCCAAACAGCAGCAGTAAGATAACGTTGACTAATTAACAAAAAAAAAATTTACAGATAAAAATCATTGCCAAAAAAAAACCCAACGAACATCTTCTGCTTTGTGTAATGATGCTAATGGTAAAGCAAGAAAACGTGAAAATGTCCCAATAGATGCAATTAGAAAGACAATACCAAATGGTAAAATAAAAAAGAATATTTTTCTCTCATCAATCAATTGACTTCTCACTAGTAGCATAAATAGACGGAGATTAGAAATGACTAACGAGGAAACTCTTCCAGGCTGATCAATCGTTTTTGAGTTGGGACTATATGCATTATGTAGATCTAAATCAGTTTCAAACATCCTGAAAAGAGTTCAGACTTTTAGCTTATTGTTGCTGATTAAAAGAAATTATTCTAAGAGATTATAATAAGAGTAGAATATTAAAATAGTATGGAACGAAGCTCAACATTAGAGATCTGACTAGAGCATACATCAGTAAATCTCTTCATATGCATCATGATATTAATCTACTCATTAAAAACGAGTGAAATTTCTTTTGTTATATTCTATAATGAACAAAATACAATAAAATCAATATGACGATTGAATTGTTTCATATAGATCCCTCATTGAATTTTTTCTCTGATACTTATCAAAGTTAATAGGATCTTTTTACATTGTTAGCAGGCTAACGATTAGAAAAGAGATTAGTCGGAAAAGAATAAGTATTAATGTAGCAGAAAACGAAAAACGACGTTGTGAGTGTAGCCAGACCCACCAAAAAAAGCTTTCGAAGGTTAAGATAGAAACAACAGCAACAAGATGTAAAACGTTCATAAGAAACTATTCTCATTAAAGACCGTCTCTATACAAAGTTTCTACTCGAAATTCTAACATCAATTTTTCTAGTATTCCTTATGATCATTTTTCATAGAACAAGTACTAGCGCGAATAGAATTATACTTCATTCGACTTTCGCACATTATTCACACAGAGAACACACGTTTATATACATAACCAAGAGAGAAGTATAAGGATAACCATGAGAGAGGAGAGATATGTCGGTGTTGTCACGGTACAGAACAACACGTCCTTTCCAAAAATGTTCTCGGTAGAAATGGTCCTCCGAAAAAATGTCTTCTACTATCAAAATCTTCTTTCAGTACAACAAGGGCAACGCTTGATGATAATAGGATGTGGGTATGAGTGCGAGCTGTAGATAGAACAGAGGCTTCGCCCTCATCAACACTCTCACTCTCATCATTATGTCATGTGATTCTATTAATTTAAAAGGTCTTTATTGTGATTATTTATAAACTATGATATAAATAAACAATTTAAATATCTGCCGAAGTGTATTTGGATTACAATGTCATCTACGTTCCAATAGAATGGTATTTAAAAGGCAACAACAGAGTTCTGAGAGGTACCATGGCATTCATTTAAAAACTATGATAAATGTGCAGTATGTCCGCAACAATAATCTATGGCCTGAACTACTTTCAGAGTATTCAAAGTTCATTTGATTCTATATAATGCACGTAGTCTTGACTCAAAAGCATTTTATCAGTTGAGAGACCTTCATTGTGAGCTCCCTCCCTCTCCACACCTACGGTTGAATTACGTCACTAATTCTCACCTGACCAAATTTGACGAACTTTATTGACGAGATACGACCACGTATATAACGTTCCTAAATTACGTTCTAAATACATAGTTTATATTTATTTATAACAATAAAATATTCGTTGAAATTTTCTTACGAGCAGTATAAACTCCAAAATAAATACCAAGAAAATTAAAGAATACTAAAATATGAAATGTTTCTCGTGTTTATGTTCAACCAAACGGAACAAAATTATAAGCACTTGTCTAAACAGCATAAATAACTTGAATAATATATGCAAAAGTAGCAATAAAAACAATATGTGCTGAAAGACCACGAGCTATTTTATCAAATAATAATGGAAGTATTGATTCAATAAATATACTTAGAGCAAAACCACCTTTTTTGAAAAAATTCAAAAAAAAAACTAATCAAATACATAAAATAAAATGTTTTCATTTACCCATAAATGAAACATTTCCACGACTGAAATATAACAAACCAGAAGCAAGAAAACCTACTGATACCCACCATCGATTTGTTACTATACTAAGACGATTGATTATTACAATACCACAAAATAAACCAAACCATATGAGAAGACTTCAAAACAAAAAAAACAGATGATCTCCTTTTTAGTTAGAAAATAACAAATATCTTGTCCTTTACCCATAAGGTATTGGATCGAGTGCTTGATTTGGAAAACCATTCGAAGCCCATCGACTAACAACCGATACATCACCAAATATCCATTAAAGATTAAATAATAAACTACCAAATCCAATACCAACTAATAACCAATTTGGTTGTAAAATATTTTCACGTGATACTGAACGTAATGGATTGATTTCTAAAAATAGAACAAAACAAAATGATGTAATAAAAAAAACAGCTTTCATTCATTCAATTAACACAAATGAAAAAGAAAAAAAGAAATTAGATAACATACCAAGTGTAGATTTTGTTGAAGATAAATTAAATGATATTGATGGGAGTAATTGCCACATAGTATTGTCTATGGAACAAAAAAAAATCAATTTTAATTTATTAATTAATAATTAATTCTTCATAAACAAATTGCTAATGAAAAGTTAATCGATTGTTTTTGAAAAATCTAGATATGTTCAGAAAAAACTTTGGATATAAGATTTTCTATCCTCAGCTATTGTCTACAAAGAACTAAAATGCATGAAGTAAAAGTCAATATTTTGTGAACTTACATGACTATTAAACCAATATAGATGTATTCAGTTAGAAATCATTTCATGTCTGTATATCAATAAATTTTCGTCGAGGTTTAGAATCTATGAAACACTCTATGTATCAAAGATATTCATCAAGATTGGAAATCTGTCGGTGACGCGCCGCAGTAGTTTTAAAAAAAGTGCCACTGTGATGCCAGCACTGTCATAGACATCTCTACATGTTGAAGATTAAATCTTAACTGAAAGTTGATTAATAATAATACTAATGCTTTAAGTCAACTATTTCAAATAAATTTGTCATTCTATCCATTTCATGTAATTAGATACTGTCGAATAAATTTTTTTCCTACCTCTTTCAAATTGATCAATGATTGTTCCAATTCCAATGAGAAAATGTATTAAATTTGCCATCACACTCGACCATGCTGGTATATAACTTAAAAAACAAATACGAAGACTAAGAAAGAAAAAAAAAACCTATTTGTCAATGTCCAAACAACAATTGATCTAAATATGAAAAAATAATAAATTTTTCTCTAATGTTTAAAATTCAATTAAAAATAGTTACCTATATGAATAATATCATCAATTAAGACTTGTACAAAGATCAATCATAATAGCACAAGTACCACATGAAAGTATTAATAATCGTAATAGAGGACCTTCTAATTGAAATGATAATAAACTAATAATTAATTTTCCAACAGTACTCTATAGGAAAAAAAAAACAAAGAACAATTTCATTTCGAAAGATTCAACAAAAGAAACAAAACTAACGTTGTGGAATATTATTCACTAATGAAGGGCAAACTATAATTGGACTTGCTAAACTAAGTATTAATACTTCATAACCATTGGACCAATGGCAAAAAAACTTGTCCAAAAAATATATTCTATACAAGAACAAATAATTATTCTCTTAAAATAATCATCATCATTAAAAAGTTGTCTTACCAAAATATAATTCCCAAATAAATATACGTAAAAAATTTTTCTCCATAATATTTTCAATATTAGATGGAACTTTTTGTATATCACCAAAATCATAATTTTCAGCAGTTTGTTTTCGATTTTTTATTAACATCTTTTCTTTTTCTTGATCGGAAGTTTTGTCATCACTTTTACTTGCTACTTTTTGACGTGAACGAAGTATATTTTTATCCATCTAAAATAAATACATTCGATCAATGAAGCGAAACTATAATAAATATTACAATTATATAAACAAATAGATAGAACATTCGTTCATTCATTCAAATTGTTTTATTGAACTTAAATTCCATATCATAATTCATGGATTTTCAAAAAGTTCACGTGAATTGAAAGATCAAAAACTCATAGTCATATGTGTAAAATCATTTTAAACTTTTAGTGCATTAACATTTACCAAACATTTGTCTTTTTTTTTCTCGTTTGTTTTTAAATTATTGTACATAAGCAACATCTACGAAGTCATAAGAACTCTTCATAATAATGATAATAATTTAGAAATAATATTAGTGTCTGAAGGTATAACCAGGGTTTTGATAGTGGGGATTTGAAGGTTGAACTTGGCTGAGCTCTCTGTTTAGTTGCATGGCTTCAATCAGTGAAGAGTTTCAGCTAGATACGAGCACGATGGTTTCAATCCCGATTCTATCAGGATCAAAAACAAACACTCTCGCTTATATCTAGGCTCAACATTCACATTGCTTACGTTACTATTAGCAACAAACTTGATGAATTAGCTTTAAACATAAATTATTGAATTATTTTCTTAGACATACGTTTTTTTCGTGAATATTCTACTGTTTCACCCTAACATAATATAATTTTGATCTCAACTTTTATATCAAACAGTTTTTTTTTGGTTTATAACGTTCATTAAATAGAAATATTTTGTCGTATTTATTGAAAAATAATCTAAATAAACAAATATTGGATTTTTTAAAAATGTTCTTCTACCAAACACAATCCAATAGATGACTTATGTTTACCAAAAAAAACATTCATATATGAATGGATGATGTATGAAAGTATTCAACATGACCTTTACATAATTTTCTCCTTTTTTTTCAACGATCTTCGCTGTAAACCTAATAGATTTTCCAGCTTCTACATACAGAAAAAAAATAATACACTTTCTAACAGCTTAACTCTCAATAGTGATGTTATTTTATTTTATTTTTTTTTTTATTGTCATAAAATAATCTCTAGAGATTATGATTAGTTTTCGAAATAATATCTAACTCGAAAACTATGTCAACTAGTACTCCTTTAGAATAACAACTTTTGCCTGTTACTGACGCATGATTGTCATGTAGTTAGAATAAAATATATATTGCTCTATAATTATATGTCGTTTTAAAAAGATTTTAAAGTAATATATTGTTCATTAAATTCTTCGACAAAAATTTGTTTTTATCGTTCTTTTTTTTTTGAAGGCTTGAGATG